AATAAATGGCAAGCTCATTTCGGCGTCTTGTTCCGGCGAGATCTGCTTGGCTTGCGCTCGATGCATTGCGCTGTTGTCCTCCTGAGGAATCTCGTCAATGGGGAAGTAGCTGACGTCGATGTTCGATGACAGTTTGGGTTCGAATGGCGCTCGGATCTTCCGCAATTGATCCCAGACCACTCCCCGGAAGAAGGGATGTTTCTTGATGGACGATGCCCCATCATGAGCTCCACCTTCCTTGCCCAATCGATCATTGGCGTCACAGAGAAAACTATACGGGTCAGCATCAGAGAATATCTAGCCGCTCAGCCAGTTCGCGTACCTTCTGATCATGTCTTCAGCATCTCGACCCAAGACCAGTTCATCTGGGAAGTACAATGATTCCCGCCAGTTGACAATCTTGCGATAGGTGTCATGTGTGTCTTCGGCACAGAAGGGCGGCCAGCCAACCAAGCACTCAAACATGATGGCTCCCACTGACCACCAGTCGCATAGATAGGTATAACCTTGCCCGAGAAAAATTTCAGGAGCAATGTAATCCGGAGTTCCAACGGTCGAGTAGGCCATGTGACGACGCGATTTCCTCCAAGTATTGACCAGTCCTCGGTTGCTCACCGTCAGATTGATCTGCTCATTCAGAGCCATCGAATTCCGATTCCCTGACTTGTCGTTGGCTCCAGCTTTGAGGAGTGCCTGGTAGTACGAGTTCTCGTGCTGTTTACGACCGCCGGTGGAGAGACCAAAGTCTGTCAACTTGATATGACCTCCTCTATCCAGGAGAATGTTATCTGGTTTGATGTCACTGAAACAACGGTCAACTTGACACTCTGGGAAATGATTTGGGCGCTCTTACCGATGGAGGAAGCCAAGCTTATGTACGGCCTCAATGGCCATGACGATCTCAGCCATGTAAAACCGTGTGATGTCTTCCGAGAAGATTTCGTATTTGATCAGCATGGTCATCAGATCGCCACCGGGTAAGAATTCCATCAGCATGTACAAGTACGTGTTGTCCTGGAACGAGGCATGCAGCTTGACGAGCCAGGGGTTGTCTTTAGAATCTGCCAGGATATCACGCTCTGCCCGGACGTGGGCCAATTGATCTTTTTTGAACATCTCCGACTTTATCAGAGACTTCAAAGCATAGATTTTCCCGTCCGTCTTGCGTTGCACCAGTTTGACCTCTCCGAATGCTCCTTTCCCAATGACCTTGATAGTAGTGAAGTTCGAGGGCACTTCCCGCGTCCGGATAAAACGCAAGAAACGTGCCTCTTTCTGCGCGAGCGTATTCATTTCTTTTTGCTTGTCAATGTCGCTGACGGCTGGGTTCTTCAGCAGCGACTCCAGCTCCTTCGCACGACTATTCCTATCCCTGGCTCGCTCAATATTCTCCTGGAAAAAACTGTTGACCAATTGTTTAGCGGCCGTGCCTCGTTTAAGAACATTATCAGAGTATCTGCGCGGGTTTGGTTGTTCCTCCTCTTCGGGCTTTGGTGAAGGCCTCGGCATTGGTGGCGCTAGATGGCTCTGGTAGGGATTCTGGACTTGTCTGGTTTCGCCTGCTGTCCGAGGACGCGACATGGCAGGTGACGGAGTGCGGTTGACATTGCCACGTGGTGTGGCACTCAAATCTTGGTTTGAAAACTGTTGAATGAGCCCGCTTGTCCCATCGTTATTGTTGGCCATGTAGGGTCTCGAATTCGCTTGGTAGGCGGGTTGAGGAGATTGGAGACCACCTTGTGGTTGGTATTGATATTGCTGCTGATATTGAGGCTGCTGCGACTGGGGAGGGTATTGTTGGTTCAAGAAATAGCCAGCGTTGGCGTTGGGGTTCGGCGAGACGAGACCGCTGGCATAATCCTGCTGTTGAGTGCCATAGATCGGCTGAGGAAAGGTGGACGGAGTGGTAGGATACATTCGAGCATTGGCAGCGTCAAAATTATGCTGGTTGTCGAACTGAAAGTTCAATCGAAGACGGTTGTTGTCGTGGTCCATTGTGCAGCAGATCAAAGGGCCAGCGCAAGGGAGTTAGAGGAGGGGAGACTGCTGGGCTGTGCCTCTGGCTGACCAGGTTGCAGGCACTCCTTTTAGTCGCAGATGCCTTGGGAGTATCACAAGTAATTGAACTGAAACCTCCTCCCACCGGAGACGGTGTAAACAAATTCCCCTTAGACCGACCGTAGTCGGTGTAGTCTTGCGCTTCGTTGAGCTCAATTACTGCGACTGTGAGAGTGGCAGACTCTTGCTCAATCGACCAGGTGAGTGACGATCAGGCAAGGAAAGCGGGACTCCCTTCACTTTTCCAGAGCAAAGGACAAGAGCAAGGTGAAGAGGGCATATGTAGAAGAGAAGGAGGTGCATGGGAAACGGTGCAGAAAAATAGGGTGCGCTGCATGGACATCGGTTACTGCAGGGTGGGAAAGGGTCTAGCTACAGCCTAAGAATTAGGGGCAAGTGCCCACAAGCCCACTGGAGGCAGCCCACTGGAGGCAGCCCGCTGCACTAGAGGCAAGCTTAAAGAGACTCCTGGGTGTTTGGGTGTCCAAAGGGGGTCTTCCAGCATCGATGGGGATCATTCTTCACGCCTGTGTCCCAATTGCACGGCAGAACTGACTTCATCGCCAGGCACAACCACGCGATTGGTTCTCAGCCTCCTACCCTGGGCTGACATCCCACTTGCACACAGTAGAGCTATGGCAAAGAAGCCACGGCGAGGATGCCATCTGGCTGCTCGCGTGGTCACACACCTCGCTTGTCTTTCTGTTTCTATCTCGCACAGCTTCTTGTGTGAAACAGTGATCCCGACGTCAAATTGTGCACAGAGCACAGGCACAAAATCAGTCGATTTGAGGCACACGGCCAAGCGGAAGATATCAAGGTAACCTGTGTCTCGGGTGGGAGAGTCCTGGTATCCTCTACCCAGCTCTTCGTCAGACAGTGGGCCTACTATGGGCACGTACATACCTATGAGTTGTTTCTTTTGAACACCGGTTAAGAGGTGTGCTCGCTGTGACTCCCGGTGTTTGGAATGAGCGGTAATGGTTCCAGGCTCCTTTAGGGGGCGAGGGGCAGACGACAGGGACTGTGAGCCCTAAGGGAAAGTATCCCGAGTCCAATTATACAGATTGAGTATTAAGAGAAAGTAGCCCGAGCCCATTCACAGACCATTGTCGGAGCAGCATATCCGATCGTCACTTTTTTTTCTGGCGGACCATGCACGCGCATGCTCTTTGGGAGCAACCACCACTACCTGGCCATCCACAAGCTTGAGGCCGGGGCGCCATCGACACAATGGCAGACGGTCTAAATCCTTCAAAGCCAGATGGCCTACCTGAGGGCGCCAAATATGAGGCTCCCAAGCCCCCTAAACAAAATCCCGCGCTTCGAATGATGGGTCAGTTCTCAGCGCCCAGTATCTAACAACCTTTGCCTGACATGCCCCAGGAATGCCCAACTTCCGCCTGAGATTGCCTTCGCGGAATTGGATGATCTTTTTAACCATTGTCGGTTCCTGGACTGCAGCTGTTGTCTACGATAGGAGGGAAAAGAAGAAAGCCCAACAGAAATGGTGCGACTTGGTCGCTCATATCGCCCAAGAGCCTCTATCACCAAATCAGATGCGCCGCAAATTGACTATCTTCTTATCCGCTCCGCCGGGGGATGGCATCCGACCGTCGCGACAGTATTTCAAAGATTATGTCAAGCCCGTATTAGTGGCCGCGGCAATGGACTACGACGTAATCGAGGGTCGGAAGGAGGGAGATGTACGATATGGGACAGCAGAACAAATACGAAGGTTGCGGCGGAAAAAGGGCGAAAAAGGGGCCAACTCTACCGAACCAGAGATGGACACCGAAGCATCGATAGATATGATTCGGGACAAGATGCAGATCGTGCCAGAGCCTGGAGTTCGTGGGGATCTAGTCCTTGGAAGACATACTTGGAAGGAATACATAAGAGGACTGCATGAGGGTTGGCTAGGACCAGTCGATGAACCTCCAGCAGCGCCTGAACCTATCTCCATCTCCGAAGCTGAACCGCTGTCTCCCCATCCTCCCATCGAAGCTCGAACAGATAATTCCGCAACAGCCACCGAAACCCCGGAAATGTCGAAACCCGAATCGGAAAGGAACACAAGTGAAGAGGAGAAGAAAGAGGAAGCGAAGAAAAACCCATACCCTCCTCCAACATACCTCCCCGTCGATAAATACTCATCTGCCACCTTATCGCCCCATACTCCAAACAGCTTCGAACCGTCTCAACCAATCCACCAACAGCATCTCTTAGGCTTCCTCAAGACCCCTCAGAGGATATATCACTTTCTCACGCGTCGATATCTGGCGGATCAAATTGGTCGCGAGACAGCTGCCATTGTCCTCGCCGCAAGTAGACCGTACGAACAGAGTTCCTTGTCGTCCACTTTCTCCACGGATCAGTCAGATCTGCACGCGGACCTTGTGGCTACAAAATCCCCCGAATCCGACGCCTCTCCATCCTCGACTTCATCGCCTTCCCAGAACCAAACAGAATGGGAACAACAGTCCCTGCTCATTCAGGAGGAACCCAAGTGGCACAAATCCGTGCGCAAACCCCGCAAGGATGATGACGCGCTCTACGAGCCGATCTGGATCAGCGACATGGTCGTCGACGACAGGATAGGTTCACGAATGAGAAAGTTCCAATTGGATCCGGAAGAAGAGGCGAGAGCGGATAGGATTGGTCGCGGCCAGGAGAAGGCGAGGGTGAAGGAGGTGGTGGATTTAAGGAACGAGAAGGTCATTGTTGGTAACTTGGATGATGATTGAGAGCCCTCGAGGCCCTAGGGAGCTTTTCTGTTTCTAAAGATCGATGTCGTGCAAATATTGGGCTTTGTTGGTTCCAAAGCAAGCACCGTCTTATCTACTCTACTGTACCAAAAGAAAAAGGGACAAAAATAATTTGCGAAAAAGCGCCCGAGAACGAACCAAACCCGATATCCCCACTCGTGCTGGTCGCTCGGGTCATATGGTAACATGGGGTTCAACACGAACCTTCACCTCTCTCTTCCTCCTCCTACTACTACTCCACTGGCCGGCATGTGCGCCTTGCAGGTCCAAATCATGACTGTGGCTGTGACTGTGGCCGTGGCCGGTATCCAGGTCCAAGAAGTCTCCCCAAGGGCGCATTCCGTCGAGGACCTCAGTCTCGCGCTTCTTGAACCGGTGGCCCTCGCGTGTGATGTACATGGGCATAGAAACCGTCGTGGGTTGGGTTTCTCCGTCCAGAAGGTTTTCACGGTCAGCCGTGGATAGATGGCTGACACGTTTCTCTTGGCTTGGGGAGACCCCTCCATCGCCTTGACAATCACCGTCACCATTACCGTTGCTGCTCCTGTTGCTGCCGCTGCCATCGTTGTCACCATCCTCGTTCTTGTCCTCGTCGACATCCCACTCGCCCCACGCATCCCAGGCATCTTTGGCCTCGCCAGTTCCGGCAGCCGGGTTCCTCGTGCTCGAAATCGGTTCGACCGGGTCGTATTCATGCGACTCGTAAATTAATCTGAACCGTAGCGGCAGAAGGTTGAAGTGCCGGGCCAGGAGAGACTTCAGGCGGTACACCGATATTGTTGTCGGGAGGAGGCGTTGGAATGGCTTCACCATCGTGGGGGTAGAGGCGTGAGTGAGAGGGATATAGAAGTAGGCGTCCACGAGCCGGGAGCCGAGCATACCGGGCGCATAATCCTCAAAGTCGGACTTCTCCTGGGAGACATTTGAAGAGCGGTTTGCGTACTCTTGTTGTTGGAGATACAGGCAAAGGATATCCTCACGATCGTACTTTTGGCAGAGACTAGAGTAGAGCGGGTGGCTTTTGCGGGCTAGCGTGATCGTTTCCTGCAGCGAAAGACTGGATGGCGCTTCAGACGCCTGGTCTAGTGGCAGCCTGGCTGTATTTCTTTGCAGTAGCGATCGCAGTTCCTTCTCTGCGACTGATAGGTAATAGATCTCGCCTTCTTCCCTATCCCGCGGTGTGATGGTCGTATAATTCAGAGATTTCAGATGAGGGATCCGCGCGAGGGTCAGATAGTATGAAGTAGAATCCGAAATGGTACTTTGAGCCTCGTCCGAAGTGGTGGATTGTTCGTACAATGGATTCCGTGAGATGCGTAGCGAAGTGAGATTGGGAAACAGATCCGGAAGACTGTTGACGAATGAGTAGTCTCGGATTTGGTTGTGGGCCAGATTCAGGGTTTCGAGTTTCGAGATGCTCGAAGTAGAAGAGCTACAAGAGTCGAGGCCCAGATTCGAGATAGTATTTCCTTGGAACGAAAGCGTCTTGATGTTGGGAAATAATGAGAAGAGAACGGGTAAAGAGGATAAATCTGTAAATCGGTTGTTGTCGAGAATTAACGTCGTTAAAGCAGGACATTGGGACGCCACTGTGGCGCCATTTATCTCAAACGAACCCAGCTCGTTCAGTGATAGTGATATCGTCTTCAGAGAGGGAAAGCCACATTGCCCTTGGGAGAAGAGAATGTTGAGGATCTGCCCTGGAGTGAGAAGACCCTCGTTTAGATGCAACTCCTCGACATTCTGAAACGGACATGCTTCCTGCGAATGGTCGACCTCGAAGTCCCGTAAGCGCAGTCCGCCAGCCTTCAAGATCTTCAATTTCCGAAAGGGAATGCACATGTCCACAATATCTCGCCAGGTTTCAATGACGTTCCAACCCAAGTCAAGTTCAACAATGTTTGGACATGTGCGTTCGACTTCGAGCTGTGCATTGCGAATGTGCTGTTTGGAAGCGCCACGTCGAGCGATGCCTGAGACCACCAACTCATCGACCAGGACAATCTTGAGATCGGTCAGGACAGATAATTGCTTCTGAATCCGCTCAAACCCGACTTCTTCTACCACCTTTCCTGATATCTCGATCATATCGTCCGCGGCGCTGCTGACGGTGGCATTAACACCTGAACTGCTGACAGGTGCATATTTGAACTTGACCGCCTCGAGAAGCGTCCGTTCCGGGTCAGGATTGCGGGAAGGCCTCACGAACGAGGCAGCAGTCGGTGAGGACGAAAGACATTGGAAGATCTGTTGACCTTCGTGCTGGCCATTGTGTTTGCCACGGCTGGGATCATCCCATTCGACTCCCAGCCATTCGCCCTTCGTATTGGAAAGAGGACCATGATAACGCACAGTACATAGTGCACCAGCATAGCTGCGGCGTTGCCCCACATAAACTTCGCCGCGGGCCATACTGTCAGAAGTTGTTTTTCCCAGGGTACCCTAGAGAAGTATCGAATGAAATTAATGCACCATCCCGAGCGCGAAAGAGTGAATCTCCATTCCTAGCTAGAGCAAATCAATATCAAATCGAGCAGAATCTTTCCAAGAGAGGGCACGGATCGTGTCGGATCGTTGTGGAAGATGAGGGAGGCTTGGAATTTAGGACGTCGAGGCTGCAGGGGAACACGATATCCCAGGTTGGTTTAGCGGGGCAGGCACCAGGCTGCGAGGGGATACGGAGTCACAGCCTCGTCGGTATCTCTTGAATATTACTGTGCCCTCCGTCAAGTACAGCATATCTTCAGCATCAAACTGTCATTTCGTTTTGAGATTGACTCTCCTACAACCGATGGAGTAGGTATCTGGCCGATTAGCATCTCTACGAGGCAAGCTGGTGACGAAGTCCAGTTCAAACTCAGATGCACGAGGAAGCCGCAGTCCTCCAAGGAATAGTACCTATCCAACTTGTTGTGATGCGGCTTCAAACTTTCCGACGACCTTCGCCTCAAGAGTCCAAAAGCAAGCTCCCCGCCCACATCCGAATAACAGTCCCTGAACTCCGTACTTTTCCTCCATCTGCATTGCCGAGCATCCATTCAGTATACTCCAAAATCCACAAGGTCAGAATCCGCATCCATGTCCACGTCCATATATGGATCTGTATCCAAATTGATATTCTCCTTGTCCAACTCGCTTCCGCACTCGTCACCAACGAGCTCGTTCGACACATCCCGCAAGACGGGTCTCTTGTCCAACAACTTCTGCAGGCCGCCATCAGGGCCACCGACCAGCCCAGTTCCTCTCACAACCTTGTCCGGCTTTCTAGAGGAACCTTGCTTCTGCGTTTTTCTTGGACTCACGTAAGCGTAGTTGCCCTCGCTTGCCTGTTTAATTGTCCATTGCTTTCTCTTCTTGTTCGCGGACGGTGATAGTGATGAACCCCTCGCTTCCTGCGCTCCGGCAGGTCCTCCACCACTACAAATTTGCGCAGTACGGCCATTAGTCTGAGTGATGGCACTCTCGAAGCAATGCATCTCGCAAGCTTCACCTGGCATCTCCAATACCCATCCCTTCTGCTCCATAATCCTCGTCAATCCTTCCAAGATGGGCACACCGCTCCCTTCCAATGTGCTCTTACTCCCGACAAGCAACAACTTACTCCTCGCCCTCGTTACCGCGACATTCACCCGTCGCCAATCTTTGAGGAGGTCTCCCACATGATGGCTCTCGTTGCTCCGCACACAGCTCAATATCACAACCTCCTTGTCTCGTCCTTGATATTTATCTGCGGTGTGCATTTCCACCTCGCCGGACGCAACAGACCCGGCGAGGGCTCTCACATCGGCTCTTAAGACGGCAAGTTGGGAGCGATAGAAAGTGATGACGCCGATGGAGCGGGGCGCGACGCCAGCGTGAAATAACGTGGTGACTAGCTGTGCGGTAAGGATTGATTCGACATTATTGGTGATCCGTGCACCCGCCACGGTTTCTCGTGCCACACTGCTAGGTATGATGCTGTCGGTATTGAGGAAGAGGCAGCGAGAGAAAGGTGAGAGGGCGCGTCGGAGCCAACAACCGGCATTGGCGAGGCATACCGTCGATGTACTGGACTTTGCTAGGGAAGAAGCGGTGAAATGATGAGCGGCAATCCCACTGTCAAGGTCTGGGATTTCAAGCATTCGACCTGCGACGGCTTCATTGCCGCATTTGATCCGACCCGAGTAGACAAGTTCCCTGGATAGAAGCATGATGTCTTCTGCCATTCGATACTGGTGTTCCAGGTTGACCACTGAGTCTGGCTGCGCATCAGATAACAATTTGAAGAGACTTACATCTAGGCCGCCCTCTAAAGCCTCTCTATTCTGGACCAGAGGCGGTAGCTGATAGTGGTCACCCACAAGAATAAAAGTTCTCGCCATTCGAATTGGTCCCAAGCAAACTGGTAAAGTGATCTGAGAAGCTTCGTCCACGATGCAGTAGTCAAATGTCCGGGCGTTGAAAATGCCATGATTGACACCGAGGCAAGTAGTTGCCACGACTTTACTTTCGTGCCAGGAGATGTGAAGCTCCTCTGTTGTGCGTTTGGGAATCCCTGAGATGTCTGCAAATGACTGCACCTCCGGATGCACTTTGTTGACCGCTCCGATTCGTAGGACGGGAATGTTATCATCCTTGATCTTCAACAGGATGTTGTCCACCGCAGTATGTGTGTACGATGCAAGAAGTACTGATTTGCCTTGAGACACAAGCGCGCGGATGATGTGAGCAATGGTTGTGGTTTTTCCCGTACCCGGCATTCCAAGGACGAGGGCATAGTCCTTTGCGGCCATAACCTTCTCAATGGCTCGTTGCTGATCGACATTGAGATTTTGTTGAGAGGCTGGTCCAGATAGCGTGTACGCTGTTGAACTGACCTTGAAATCTGGACGCTTGTTCTCGATAATCAATTGGCGAAGCTCTCGCGCTCGCCAGAGATCTTTTTCCATCATTCGAAGGATGTTGTTCCGTGCTGTAGCCATGCCATTCGCAAACTCATCCTTGTCGATCCGGTAGAGGATGGGGTCGTCACGTTGCGAAGACGGGGAGTTGCCACCCTCAGCCATGCTGACATGACTAGAAAATACTTGATTAGTGACAGGGTCGAAGCTTTCCCTTTTCCTCAGTGCACGTTCGAGTCTCCGGTCGACCGCAACCACAACTCTAGTGGGTTGTACATTTGTAACAAAGCCGGCTGCAAAGTTGAAATGTCCTTTCTCGTCCGATATTAGAATTGGCTCCCCGGTGGTAATCTGTGACTCTCTAAAAGAGAAGCCGGGACTAGGCATATGCTTGACAAAAGTGTACTCAAATCGGTTGATTTTGGAGCTTTCAGGATTTTCAAATGCCGATCCGGGCTGAATCACTACCTCTGAGAAGCAACGCCCAACTGCCTCGCGTTCCGAACTCAACATTGTCCAAAGCTCGCGGCGGAACTTCATGGTATCACGTTCTTCTTTCGTGAGCAAATCATCCCACTTCTTGAAGAAAGATTGATGTGCTGCCGACAGGTGGTCGACGACTTCGCTGAACTTCTCGCCCAGACCACTGGTGTCTGTGGTACCATTTTCGGACAACTTGTGGTACGTGAAACAGGCCGCCTTGGAGTAGCAGCTTTTGCAGAGATGTTGTTTCTTGATCATTGGCGGCAGAGCTAACTTGTCGTGAACAAAGCAAGCCAATTCGTTTCGCTGGATGATCATGTGGCGAATCTCGTTTCTGATGCCTTCAACCCTGTATGTTTTGGAAGTTTCCATGTAGTATAGCACGCCACATGTCACAGCGATGTCGTATCTGTCTGATAAGAGCAGAGTGTATAGTGCTGTTTGGACACGGTGCTGCTCCACGTTGTCCTTCTTACCAGTTTTCAGTTCGAAGGGCACCAACAGAGTCCTGGGTGATTGTTCATGCGGTAACTTCATCTGTACTTGGACTGTGGCGTCGATGTTCCCTTTGAGACCGTACATGGGAGACCAGACATGTTCTTCCAGTTCGAGCAATTTATTGACAGTGGCGGGAACCAGAAGGCCGTTCCGATCACGAATGAGAGCATCAGCAGACAGGGTATCTCCGACAAAGACACTAGCCCATGCCATTAGTTCCGGTGTCTTTCCTAGAAGATACTCCGTTGCGTCTTGAACCCGGACACCGATCTCATAGAGCGACTCGATGTAAGACGGAAGAGTCTTGTCAATGATCTCTCTGAACGACTGCATGTCCCATTTGTTTATCCGCAAAGCACGTCCGAACACTTCGTGCAGGATGTGGCCGTACACCTGAGGCTGACTGGCTGTGCTGGTAGCTTTAACTCTGTCTTGGAGAACGGCACGTCGCATGCAGGTGAAGGAATCTCCAACAACAGTCGAGGAAATAAGATGGTCAGGATGGAGAATGATCATGTTGTCGGCATCATTGACAATGCATTGGCCCGTATGATCGAATTTGCCAATGACATGAACATAAGACCCTTTGGTGCATCTGGTATCGTACCAGGATTCTCGCAGGAGAATGATATAGCACGTTCCGGATCTCTCATCTTTGACCGAAAGCATCTAGGTCCCGTTAGTGTTCCGAGGGTGGCCAGGGAAAGGGGAGTCGTACTTTCTCAGGTCGTCTACGTCCAGGCTTATATTCATATTCACTCTCAAGGACATCCATAATGAGATAACGTTTGATGGCTCGATTGTCAATTGATGTCTATTTACTCTATCAGTATACATGTCATCAACTTCAAATCAATGAAGAACGTACATGATCTTTGGATGCGATCGGTGTCCTTCCCTTTCCGCAGGTGGCATTTGCAATGTCCTCCCAGAAATCATCATCATCATCAAAGGCGTCTTCGAATTCATCGAGTGTTTCAAGGTACTTGGATCGTGGATTGGTGCCCAAAGTCGGCTTTCCAGGGGCTTGCGGGTTGGTCACCACTGCTTGCGATGGTGAATCATACTGAGCAGCAAGATCAAGCATCTCATTCATCAATTCTTCGTCGTCGTCGTCGTCGTCATCAAATTCGTCGAACTCTTTGGCAGTATGCTCCGATTGCAGGATTAACTTTTCATTCTCGTTTTGCAGTCTTCCCCTTTGATCCCTTGATCCATCAAGCTGGAGGGGCTTGGCCTCATCGTAAGAGTGAATATTAGACCGCGTATTCAGGCCATTCTCGTTGTGATTTGATACGACGTGACTTGTTTTGTTCTTCGTCTCGGCTTGTTCAAGGGCCCACTCAACACTCTCGAAAGCCTCGACATCGAGACCATCATCGCTGAACTCGGACGAGAATGATATTTCAGACGGAATCGCAACTTTTCCCGGTGGAGCTTTTGGGGGAGAGCGAGCTGTGTCTACAAGACCAACAGACGCCTGTCTGATCCTATTTGTCGGCTTGGTTGGCGATACAAGTGCCTGAGAGCGTCTGTCCGGAAGCGGTGAGG